TATTGATATATATATTTATATTTTTTTTTTTTTCCAGAAAATGTACTGTACTTCAGTCATGCACAAACGACTAGACGATGGCGTCTTCTGCCATCTAGTGTCTGGTGAGCTCACTACATCAACATCATGTGTCGAGCGGTCTCGGTAAAGGCCTATCGCTGACCACAATGTAAATAATGAAAAGACATATTGAGAAATATTGACGTGCATCCTGAAATGCGTACTCTACTGTTACGCTTTTCAACATCACTGAAGAAGTCGATGCATCATTATAAACGTTTTGATTTTTTTTTTTTTTTTTTTTTATTAAATCTGGGATCGATGTCCTTTTAGAGGTTAAGACAAAAAGGATCCTTTCCCACGACTATAGGTCTGTCAGATGGGCCTAACGGGTTACATCTATGTCAATAACAGACATAGTCCTGGAACGTCTGAAAACGACCTGCTGCTTGTATATGTACATGTATATGTGATCATCTGGCCCCTCTCTCACTGCAGGGATCACATGTATCCGTCCACCGTTGCTGTTGCAGCGATGCGCAGCCGTGCCGCATGACTCACAGAGGCACAAACGGCCGTGGATGTAAACAGGGGGGGCGGACTCGGATTGGACTAACCTGTACCTGGCCGGGCCAATGGGGGGATCCGCATCCCGTTGCCTCCGCTCCAATCCGTAGAATCCTATTGGTCGTGCGCTGTGTCAATACGGTATAGAAACCAAGGCGCAAGCGTCGCAATTACAAGGAGAGGAAGGTAGAGAGAGACAGACAGACAGAGAGAGAGAGAGAGAGAGAGAGAAAAGAGGGTGAGGTGAAATGATTAATCTGTCAAAAGGCTTGTGAAATTTTCAGGTCCACATGACACCGCTCTGATTTCCGAGGAAGGCAGTTTTACGTTGGGAACTTCAACCCCCGGTGCCGATGCACCGCCAGGCGGACGCGGTGCTTGCGTGATTATCGGCCAGGCTTTTCTTAGCTGCTGCCCGATTTGCGTGCGGTTTCAGCACTGGACAGCGACAGCCAGGAAAACACCGAGTGAATCCTGAGGCAGGGGTAAGGGAGAGAAGAAAAAAAAAAATTTTTATGCATGTCAGTGTTTGTGTGCAGCCGCGCTTCAAGCGTTAAGCTCCGGTGCGCAAAATGGTGTTTGGTTGGATGTGACAATCCGGAGCTACGAATGTCCTTGAACGCGCGAGCTCGCGTTCGTGCAGTTCTGTGCGCGTGAATGTGGATGTACGGCGTGCGTGTGTCTATCTGTGTGTGTGTGTGAGTGTGTGAGAGATATGGAGGTAGAGATATGACAAAGATAGTGGTTGATAAGCAAAGCAACTGCGCAATTGTCTGTCCCTTCCTGTTCATATCAGTCTCTCTCTCTCTCTCTCCCTCCCCTCTCCCCTC